CAGAGTTGGAAGGCCCAGTCGACGTCCACCGCTTGTTCAATTCAGAGCGTGAGTGTTTTTGTCCTTAGATCTCTTTATTTCACGTCAGTGTACACTTTCAAAAATTAAACTTCGACTCTTAGTATAGCTATACCGGGTGATTCAGTTTGGTATCCGCTTCCCTGTAGGTATCTCTTTTATTTTAACAAATTGCTATAACAACCCCTATATATCTTTAAATCGCCGCTCAAACTCTATCAAATGACATTGTTAGATCGTCTCCATGGTAACGTATGTTAAAATTGCTATAGTCAACTGTTTTTGTTCAAATGGCACACTATATATTTTTTTATCAATTCTCGGAGATATTTTTTAGACATGTACTGTTTTTCTAGCAATATTTCTAATAAAACTATAAACTTCCTTACATAGCTGAACGCAGAAAAAAATATCTTCCATTTGTTAAAATAAAAGAGATACGAGGCCGTGAATATCAAACTGAATCACCCGGTATAGCTATTTTTTTACAAAAGTTGGAAAACGAAGCATCTGCGAACCAATTTTATATGAACTTTTTGTCTTAAATCTACTCAAATAATTGTCTGTTGAATTGTACATACTTAATTAACAACCTGTATGTTTGAAAGGGAACTTTTTCTAAAAAATGTCCTTTGGTAGTGGTGAAAAGGTGAAATATGTAAAATACACAGTAGCTGTGGAGAATTTGTTGTTAAAAATTATCGTACAGATATTCTCAATTTTTTGTAAATGCTCTTCGTCATACTAAAAAAAAATGAATAATATACTAAATCTTAATAATTTATATAATAAAATTTCGTTTTCTTTACTGAATGAGTCTCTATTAGAAAAGATAGATTTCAGACAACCAAAAGATCGTTTATTTATTACATTAATTTGTTCAGTAAATTTCAATGTAAATTCGACTTTTAGATCGAATTCCAGCAGCGTTACAGAGAGACACAATTGATTTGAAATATTTGAAAAGGAATTTAAATTATCGATTATTCTCTGATTGGATTTTCTTCAAAAGAATAATATTATTACAACGAGGTAGAACTTTTTAAAACTGAGTGATACAAAACAGGGATTTTATCTGTTGCAATGAATAAAAAGTTATTTCTAGAAAAAGCTGCTCAAGCAAACACATAACATATTGGCTTTGGGAAACGTTTTTTTTCTAAAAAAAAATTTTGGAGGTAATAATTGATTTTTTGACATCAGTAAAAACTAATTTAATTGAGTTTTTAAATGTATGAATTATTATGCAACACTGTTATTAACTTCTAAACATTCTTTATCTCAAAAATTTGCTATTTTCAATTTAAGGAAGCTGGGTCTTTGTGGTTTTTTTCATAATATTTTTCTGGGACTCGTCAAGTCAAATATAGTTTTAAGTTGTTAAAGATCCAGCAACATTTTTTTAAATTTCAATATATTTGAGAATTTTTCCCATAATAGTAAGTACATGTCCAACATTACATCGCTAAATACATATCTACCTACATACCTAACTAAAAATTACTGAAACACAGAAGTTTTAGTGCCATTCAAAAATGATCAAATGAATACTTATGTAATAATACTGATATTGCATGGCTATACCACATCAAATTCAAATCAAGACTAAACTACTAATCTCCCTTTTCATAACCGTTATTGCCTACTTTCATCGGTCCGACTTAGTTGCTTTTTCGAATTATTGACTTTATTATTAAAATCGAATTAACCCGTCGTTAAATTTCAATTTATTACAGTCAGCAGCAGTGATATGACAGAAAAGAAGACAGGATACAAAGTGAAAATCAAAGAATCCGTTACACCGAACACACCCAATGATTAATATCAATTATCGCTGTGTATTCACTGCTGTGTAATAGAAAATTTAGGAGGTTTGCTTCGCTTAAGCCGCTAAATGTAATACAAATCATGAATACATAAATGATTTAACGTACTTACTAGCTAAAGCATTTGAAGCAAATGGAAAAGCTGATTCACATGTACAATAACTTTATTAATGTTAGAAATTGAAGCTCCATGTCGTCTAACGAAGTACCACAATGTTCGTATAGATGTCGCTATACAAAATACAATACGTACAATCTTTGTTGAGATAAAATTCCAAGAAAAGAATAAGCCAATAAAGTTTTATTATCGGAACTACTGTAACAATTTACCGGGAATATTAAAATATACATATACCTCAGGTATATAGTTTTCCTCCACCTGAAGTTTTTTAATTTAATAATGGACTACGTTTTCCCGAAAAGTAGTATTTTTTTCTACTGTTTTAAAAAGATGTATTGGAATAAAAGCAGGTCTGTTTTATACTGTTTTTAATAGAAAATAGGCAACCAGGAATACAGGTCAATTTGCGCCCCTAAGATAATGTTCCGTTAACTTTTGACTTTAAAAGCTGACCTTTTGAATAGCACCTTTAAAACCATCCTCGAAATGAACAGCGGATACACCTACCAATTTTTTTCTACGTTATTTACCAGCTTCACCTCCTGTTGTAAACTTTTGCCACCTTTTTTTTTCTTTTAGAACATAATTACCCTCTACAAATTTTTGTAAAACACACTTAATCGACTTTTATCCACCCGTTTATGGCTACCGAACTTAAACGCAAACCTATCCACTGATAGGCAGTAGAAATACTACAGCTAATGCCTATAATTACAGAACATAACACGCGGCGTATCTGCCTTAATTGCGGGTAAACATTAAACGTTCCTAAATTATACGCTACCTTAAAGAGGTATATTGTTTTTATGTCCTATCTAAAACGGTCACCTCTGCCATCAGTTATAATCATAACCTGGAGATAATCAGTTTGGAAGTAATGGAAAAAATTACAAGGTTAATTACGGGTATAATTTTTGCTACTACGGACAGGTATGATGGATTCTGATGCTGTGGTAGATGCTGATTTATACTCGTTTTAATATTACGTAAAATTATAAACAATTGCTCAAATGATTTTCGAGGCGGGCGCTGCGGGATGCGGTAAACAAGTGTTTTATTTTATTTAGGGCATATTTCTACAAAATCAAAGCATTGTTTCCCACTTCAAATTTTATATTCCTTATTTGTGTAATATATTTTTTTAAACAATTTTTTATTGTGTGCCAGAGGTTATACAAAGTGATTCACATCTTATCCAAAAAAAATTGGAAATAGATGCGTCATGAAAATTCTAGTAAATATTATAAAAAAAATTGTAAAATCCTTATAGTTTCCGAGAAGAAAATTAGTATTTACCACCCATACATCGCTGGACTACTGTAGTCTCTAGCGTCATTCGCGTTGTGCGGTATACGCAATGCGCTCTCTCTCTCTCCACGTGGCCCCTGACGGTTCTAAATACTCACGTATACTAAGTTTTTGCGATAGTGTTTACTTTAGTCTTTCAAGTATCAAAAATGGCAACTCGGAGTTGATGGATATTGTTTTAATTTATAGTGAAGAAAGACAACATTATTTGTGTTATAGTGAAGCATTTGTGTTAGGGTGAAGCAAGACAACATATGTGTTAGTTCGTAGAAACTAGTAGGCCGGGCCCAAATGTGTTACACGTCGGTGGACAAAATTTTGAGCAGTTGTTGTAACATCAGTTATGGCAATTTATTTTATTAATTACAACCACAAATTAATTTTATTAATTAATAATAACAATAGCAGCAAAAACAGTTGAATTTTCTGGTATAAAACAGGTGTTATAAAATTTTATTTATTTCTTTCCTTGGGAAAGAATTTCTTTCAGTTTTTTGTCCGTCTATTTTTTATTACACTTTGCCGCCGTGCCTGTCGCCGACTGCATGCTTTGCCTTGCGTAAGGTCAGGTTATACAGTGGACCAGTTTCCAGTGCCGTGCAGAGGTGTATTTTTAAGTCATTTTTGAACTGCCCTTTTTTATTTTTTTTTACAAAATCGTATTTGTAAGAGTTTCCGGCACATTCAAAATAAATTTTTTTTTTTGGATAAGTTCTGAATCACCCTGTATATTTACTATGAAAACCAAAGAAATGTTGACTTTTGATGTATATTATAATTGTTTTAATTGCTTTTTAAAAATTGCTTATATGTATCTTGTAAACAACTATTTTTTATTCAAGCAAAATATTGAAATTTAAGTTGAAATTCCGTAGACAGATATTTTCACAATTTTTTTAAAGAATCTTGTGGTACCTAAGAAAATATTTAATTATTAAAAAAGTGTCATTATTGTTTGTAAATTCAAAGGTTTGAAAAAGTTTTGTAGTTCAGGTCAAAATATCTCATTGTTGCTAAAATAATCGGTTTTATATCGGAAAACAAAAATTGTGGTGTGATTCCAGATATCTCATTGGCTACATAAGAAATATTATTATTTGCGACTCGATACCTAAATAAACATACATACAGATAAAAACATTCACATTATAAGGTAATATCAACAAGTCCCTTATCAAATATTTGGCACATTTTTTTTTAATTGTAATAACAACGCAATTGCACCTATCAATAAATCTAATGATAATTTAACAACACATCATATTTTTTTTATATTCAGCAAACAGAAGTTATTTTCAGATAACAAAAACAAAAATCTTTACTATAATTCGTAAAAATATTTTAATCAATGCCAGGAAATAGGTAATCTATGTAGACATTATATTAGGATTAAAACAACTTGTTTACTGTATGTGGTAGTAATATTTCAATCAATACAATTATGAGTAAAACTTGTCATTATTAAGATTTTCAGGACAAAAATTGATAAATATAATATTAGACAAACAATTATTCTTTTAAAAATGATTTATTATTTCCCGATTAAAGCCTCGTACCTATAAACCTGCCTAATGGTTCTATAATAGACACCTTTTATGACATTGTATGTAAATAATATTATTATCCTTTTATTTTGCGATGATTTTGCTCATTCCTTATTTTCAGTACAAAGTTACAAAGTTAAATCAATAAATACAATTTTCTACGACAAAAAACAAATTCCTTACCAATACTTTCTTCTCCTTCTTAATAATCTCCAGAGGAGCTTGTATGCTCGGTTTCCCCAAATACCAATCATCCCGGGGGTTGTAATCTCCCAAAAATCGGACTAGCCGCGGCACATTAACGTAGTTGTCGTCGTCGAAGTGACAAAACCATCTGGAACAAAGAGGAAGACATGAAATATTTTAGGTTTTTTATATCCCACAATAGATTGCTGCCTCATAAAAATGCCGTACATGAAAGGGCCTTTCATCAAAGGGGATTTGGGAATTTATTTGACAAATACACAAAACATAGGGAGAAGGGCATCTTTGTTGTGTATTAATTTTTCTTATTATATAATCTCTGGACAGGAATGCATAGTATATAATTACACAGACCAACAAAATTTAACTTTTTTTTGGAAGCGGAAACTTGAATATATATTTCCGAAGGATTTAAGTGCGCTTAATCCGAATCTGGTGGCAGAATTGCTCTATCGCGTCAGGATTTTGAGATATCCTAACCTAAAAGTGCAAAAAACGTCATATTTGAGGTTATGTAGTAATGTCATCTATTATTTTTCTCGTGGAAATGAACGGAAAAAGTTATAAGCGAAAAACGTGAATTTACGTAAAAATTATACAATTAATCACCCTGTAAACAATCTTCCCCCATTCTTATGACTGTGGAAACTAATATGTTATTGTACATAATATTTACCATCTATAGTGATAAATTCAGCTTGCCGAAACAAAAAGTCGCGAAATGTCACTTCCCAGCTTATTTTCCTGGCCTAACCCTGGTGACACTTTTAATAATGTTTCTAACTAACCGACCCCTTATTTATTAACATTTTGACATAAACTCTAGACGCCCTCTACAAATGTTAACAAAGACCGAGGGTTGGTGAAATAACGAGCTGACACTCAAGAAATGAGAACGTCGCTACGAAGTACGGGTCAATTTACCAAATATAGAAACGCAGAAGTAACAGTTAATGATTGATGGCGTTTCGTCAATGCCCGACAGAAATTCTATGATTTACATATAACGAATCGGATGAATCTGGACTGACAAGAGCGCTCTTTGATGAATAACTATCCGGATAAGTTGATACTACATGCCTGATAAATACCTGATGTAAAAGAACCTGACTTTTGACTGATTAATGCTCGGATGTAGATCTTTTATTAGATTAATGCATCGGGAGAGTTTCGGTTGTATACGATTTCAATCGAACTTGAACTTTGGGCATAATAAATGAGATTATGTTACGCTTTGATCTTGGCGATGGTAAATGAAAATACCGAAGGGGCCTGCAATATTTTCTTTTTGACTTTTTACGTTAGGTGTAGCAGGACGTTTGAGGAAAATTATTAACTTCACAAGGAAACAAAGGCTTCAGCAGAATCAGAAATTCAACTGAAAAAATAATTAAAGACACCCTTAAGAATTCAAATAGGGTAAAGTAACTCTTCGGTCTCCCAGATGACGTCTTTAATCCCCTGAAAAATCCTTCTAAAAATGCGTCTCGTCCGCTGTTGATATTTAAAACTTTCCAAACCTTGGAGATAATAAATTGTCGAGAGATCTTCACATAAAGAAGTTGCATCTATTTTTAATTCTCTGTCTCAGGTGTTCCCAAATGTAATCTTGAATTTATTTGGATTGATTTTTAGGGAAACGAAAAACGTATTAGTTTTAAGCAAGTATAAAAAATAAATATATAAAATACCATGGCAGTTTTGTACTTTTTAAAACAAAAAATAAATACGTAAACAAATTCATACACCAAGAACATTACTAAAACTATATTCATTTATAATATAAACAGTAAAGCACGTCATGAAATTGAAACGAAAAAAATTAGGCTTTTGTTCATGCTTCGAGAAAATTTTTGTTTGTTTTAATCATAACTCTTTGTAAATTTCACGTGTATTTCTAATTTAATTTTTAGCCGTTTACCGAACCCTTTCTTGTTTGTTCCAATAAAATTCCATAAAGGAAATGAATAAGAACCGCCTACCTACGTTGAAATCAGTGAAGGCTGGTGAAAATTAAAGTGGGCGTATTTTAATAATGAAGCATGAAATCCATACATTTTTTAGGTGATAATTTCTAGGCCGACGTAGACAACAAAAAAAATTCGTACGCAATTTGCGATGATAAAAAATTTAAATAATGATATCTCGAATGGGGTGGCTCATATGTGTACGAATTTTTGTTTTTATAATTAACTGATAGTGAGAAATTTTTTTTATTTATTACTAAATTAAATTGTTGTCATAGTTATACCTATTTTAATTTTAATTTGATAATAAATTTAATTTTTTAGACTTGATAATACTATAACTTTAAGAAAAATGGAAATTTTGTGAAAAGAAAACACATGTTTGTATCTATTGTCGTGGATTTTGATTAGTTGTATTCTTTCGTTCTATACAGTGTTAGAAGTTTGACTGCCTTAATTTTAACAGACGATATAATACATTAAACTAAACAAATAAAAAAGTACGATTAATTAAGGAATATTGACATAACTGCGTGCATAGAATGCCATAAAATACAATGTTTATCACTTTTTTGAACTTCTTTATGCTTAATTCTAAAAAATAATTAGCGTTGTAATAAATTTAAAATTCCATAAAATTCATATTTTATTTATTTATTAACACGAGGTACTAAGGTATCCAACAACCACCAATACGCAATTCAATAGGTATCTGGATTCGACCGTGTTGGAGTGTTTTTTGCGTACCACTATTTCCTTTTCCTGACGCTTTCCAGTGAGTGCGCGAAAATTAGATTCGAAGGTGTCGTGCATGCATCGAAAATGGTGGTGGATATTTTGAGCATATGTTGTAGATTGTTTTGTACTTGTGCGTTTAAAAATTACTGAATTTTGCTTTTTGGTAAGTACCTAAATTATTTTTAATACGTATGATTATTTGGACGACGTGAATCTTTAGGTATTTTAATTATATATTTTTCAAATACGTAATTTGATTAAAAGTTAAGTTCCTGTCATCGTCTGTTAGAGCTTTTGGCGGAAATCGAGGCCTCGTAGGGGCATTTTCGGAAAAATTTGGAAACATGCGTGAAATTGTGTTTTCCCGCCTCGCGCCATAGATTGTCTGCGGTTTCTTGTCTTTATGGTTCCGAAATTTGGCGGGATTGTGCCCGATGAATAACTTTTTCAAAGTTTATTGAATTATTTCGGAAACGTGGGTGAAAATTCGAAATACGCTCAATACTCATAGTACTACTACTATCAGGCTACCCTTATTTAAATTTGTTATTTTGCAAATTTCGTTTGAAATTTTTCCATCATGGGAGTTATCCATGTGAGGTTAAGAAGCTTCCCCTAAAAAACTGATATGGGTCCAGTGCGTCATTATCAAAATATGACTACTTCAATTTCCGCCAGCCGCCACTGGTTGAAATCCTTTAAAAGTTGGAGATCAACTTGCTCCTTAAACTTATTGGAAAAATATCTATAGAACGGGATCGGAAACGTCTCAATACAAAATGATATCAATTTCCAAAGGGTAAGTAATTTCCCTCAGCTTTTATTACTTTATAACATTTGGAATAATCATATGATGAGTCTAATACAACGAATTTATTAGACCGCATTCCCTACAGAGCGGTCAAGGTCATAACAGTCGCCCATATCTCCACAGTTCCACATAGAATTATCAGTAGAAATTGTCAACACACGGAGTCAACAGTTTGTGTATGCGGTTAACTATCGACTACACCTATGTATATGTAACCCTATACAAATACATAACACTGATTAAAAAGTTATTGACCTGAATTATCGCTGTATTTATTGTCTCGACTGAGTATCGCAACGCGAGGAAATTGTGGTAAGAATAGATCAGTATAAATGACGTGCATTACGCTGTAATATTTTTAGTGAAACCTGGCAAAAGGCGGGATTAAAAATGAGTCACACCACGAACGAGATGCCGAAGTATTACCAACAGAATGGAGTGGAATTCGAGGAAGATGAATTTGGACTGTTTACTAGTACGCTTACCGGGCAATCGTCTGCGGTAAGGAGATTTACTTGGAGGAATTCCAATAATGTTACTGTGCAAGTAATCACATATGGAGCGACGATAACATCCATCAAAATTCCTAGTGAAAATGGTACAGTGGATGATATCGTTATGGGATTCAATGATATGGAAGGTATGAAAGAAGTTTTACATTTTTTCCAATTTTTTCTGCTTATTTAGGTATTTTTAAAACAAAAAATCAGACATTTACTAATTAATGTGACAAAAGAATTAGTCAAGGGATATTGTCAAAAGTTTCACTCTGATAAAGGCAGACAAATAAAAAATACATACCATTAAAACACCCATTTCAGTTAACGTTTCGAAAAATAATCTGTTTTTGTTCGTTTCGAAAACAGGAATGACGTTTCTTTTTGAAATATACTTGCCGGCTTAAACTTTGTTTATCCACAGCTTGAGACATTATACGATATTACATATTTCTTTTTAATAAGAACCCTTATAGCATGGGTTTGTTAATTTTTTTCACAGGTAGCAAAGTACTCAAATAAACAGAGAAAAGGCTAACTAAAACTGTACTACAAATAAATATATATATCCAATGTTGATGTTTTCTATTCAGGAAATAAAATTATGATTATTTAGTAATGAGACATAGCACGCAAATAAGCTAACCAATTTATACAGGGTGTCCCATAATGAATTGTACATAGAGTAACAGGTGATTTGTGACGCCATAATAATGTGATTTGGCTAAACTTACCTTAGTCCAAAAGTTGATACCAACCGAGTTACACGGTATCAAAATCAAAATTTTATTTTCAATTTTTTAAATAACCTTCGAAGTAATTGATCTATTTAAGCGAAATTTGGTAACCCTAGGTTTTTTGACATGAAAAATTCAAATTTCCTCGTAATTTTGGCATACATTCTAGAGGGCGCCACTTACGCCGCATCGTAGATTTTATAGTTCACAAATAAATTTTTTGCTACACACTGTATCTTATTTTCTGATAGCAAATCTCTATTTCTATCACTTTTACATCAAAACGGTAAACCTTCTTAACGTCGCGTCGATAGAGACCACCGTTTTCGAGATATTTGCATTTAAAAAATTCAATGTGACAAACTAGTTAGATTTTATCAAAGTAATCCTTCAAATAAGAACAGAAACAATAGAGAACATTTTCAAAACTAATTTATGCCAAATTTGACATTTAATTAGTGTTAGAAGTTAGATTATTGTTGAGTTCCACAGATTTGATTTTGATACCCTATATCTCGGTTTAGATTAAGGTAAGTTTGGCCAGATCACATTATTATGACGTCATCATGTGTTACTCTATGTACAATTCATTCAATATTCTTAGTAGATCGATTTTCGACCTTATGTACATTGGACATAAGTGTCAAAAAAATATCTTCTACCTAAAATGTATTGTCTTTGACTACAAAAGTAGTAAAGTAAATGGTGCAAAAATATTAAACTTAAACATGTATTATAGTCTGAATATTATTCGAAACAAATTTGGTTTATCCGCATTCAATTTAATTTGTGTTTGATCTAGCCCATATTTTTGTTAACTATTGTTACAGGTTATTTGAATAAACTCAATCCTTACTTCGGGGCCACCGTAGGAAGAGTGGCTAACAGAGTTGGCTACGCCACAATAACAATAGACAACGTAACCTACAACGTTTCGGCTAATTTGGGAAAACATCAGCTTCATGGCGGTTTCCAGGGATTCGACAAAGTCAACTTGAACTACTACGTATGCGGCACTAAAGTTGTGTTCAGTTATTTGTCACGAGACGGCGAGGAAGGTTATCCGGGAGACGTATTGGTCAATGTCAGCTACGAGTTGACTAACAATAACGAGTTTTTGGTGGACTTTAAGGCCACATCTAGCAAACCGACGTTTGTGAATCTGACGAATCACTCTTACTTTAATCTGGCAGGACACAATAAAGGAGCAGAGGAGATGTACAAGCACGTGATTTCGATCAATGCCGACTACACTACTGATGTTGATGATAATTCGATTCCGTCAGGTATTACCAAAGACTATTCCTTAAAATGATTTGTAAGTAGGTTATGAAATTAAGACAGAATAATAATTTTTTAACATATTTTATTTTAATAAATACATTTTTTATATCAGCAACAACATCAGCAAGCATCGTAGTTTCATGTGAACTTATTTTCAGGAAAATTATTGCCTGTGGCCGACACAATCTTCGACTTAAGAATCCCGAAGGTCCTAGGGGACGTAATCCACAAAATACCCGGGTACGACGGTTACGATCACAATTTCTGTGTAAACAAGGGCTCGCTACAAGAAAATACTTTCGTAGCAAGGGCCGTCCATCCCCCTAGCGGTAGGGCCATGGAGATATACAGCAACCAACCGGGTGTCCAGTTTTACTGCTCGAATTCCATTCCGGAAGATCCGAAAAAATTTAAAGGAGACGTTACTAATCTGCAGAAGTTGATCGGTAAGGAGGGTAGATATTACAAGCACGGAGCTTTCTGTTGTGAGACTCAGAACTGGCCGGACGCTGTAAATCACGTAAGTTGTAAAAGTTGTAATGTCGTATATACCTAAGTATATTCACATTTTTTTTTTTCAGAAAAATTTCCCTCCAGCCGTCCTGTATCCAGGACAAACGTATCACCACACTGTAACTTATAAGTTCTTTGTAAACAAATGAATCAAATATTACCGATGTTCCGAAATTGTATTAAAATAAAGAGCAAAATAAATTCAAGGTTATCATTATTAGGCGCATACGCTGGTATCAGCAATTAAATATTCGAGCACCTTTTAACCAGCTGCTTTATTCCCACACACGTAAAATCTCTCGACAATGAACACTTATCTATTTATGTAATACAGTGATTATTTTCTTGTATTTATAAACGACTAGCAAGCCCCATTACATCAGTCTTACAAAATGGGTGGAGGTGATCACAAGTCCGGGAGAAAGAGTAACGTGTTGCTAGCCGAAGACACTTTCGGCCAGATCAAAGACGATAAAGGCCAAGTCAGAACCGTGAAGAGGTTCACATGGACCAACACGAACAACGTAAGTGTTCAGCTGATAACTTATGGGGGTTACATAACTTCCATAAAAGTACCAGACAAGCAGGGCAACGTCGAGGATGTAGTGCTTGGATTCAATAACTTAGAAGGGTATCTGAGTCCCCAAAATCGCTACTTTGGTGCTACGGTTGGTCGCGTTGCCAATAGGATTGGTGGCGCGAAGATGACCATCGAAGGGGTGGCGTATAAAGTCACTGCTAACAACGGAGCTAACCAACTCCATGGAGGCCTCAAGGGATTCGATAAGGTAATATGGGATCACTACGTTAAAGGCAAGAAAGTTGTGTTGAGTTACCATTCCGCTGATTTGGAAGAAGGTCATCCTGGTGACGTTTTGGCGACTGTAACCTTCGAGCTGACTGAGGATAACGATATTGTGATAGACTATTCTGCCACCACCACGAAACCAACGTGTGTGAATTTAACAAACCATTCATACTTCAACTTGGCTGGGAACGGAAAGGGGGCAGCTGGTTTGTACGAGCACGTGGTTTCTATTAACTCTGATAGCATCACCGAAAATAATGCAGGAATTCCAACGGGTAAGTAGAGATCACAAGTTTGTAATTCTGAAATGAAGATGATTCGCAAAAATGCAAAAATTTTCTTTTGTAAAGTTATAAAAATTAATTCCAACCATTTACTTTTTAGGTAAGATCCTCTCGGTCGCCAATACGGTCTTCGACTTCCGCATACCAAAGCGTCTTGGTGACGTGATAAACAAGCTTCCAAACGCAGCAGGATACGACAATAATTTCTGCATCATTAGAGGATCAGAACAAGGAAATGCATTCGTTGCCAAGGTAGACCATCCTTCCAGTGGAAGAACTTTGGAGGTTTATAGCAATCAACCGGGAGTTCAGTTCTATACTGGTAACGCCTTACCCGAAGACACTTCCGCTACAGGAAAGGATGGGTACATCCAGAAGCACGGAGCATTTTGCTTGGAAACCCAAATTTACCCAGATGCTATCAATCACGTAAGTAATTTTTATCAAACGTAGAATTGAAATGGTATCTCCACAAATTGAAATTAATCAAGGTGTTCCGAGTTGAGTGTTACATATATTTTTTTTTATTTCAGAAAAATTTTCCACAGGTTGTATTGTATCCAGGACAAACTTATCACCATACATGCACGTACAAATTCATCATAAATAAATGAACAAAATGAAACAAAGATAACATTTTTAATTTTAGTTATCAACCGATTAAGTACACATATTTTCAATAAACATTAGATTAAGCACTAATAACGTTCACAAACAAAGTTTGTAATAGTACATAATCACAATCACATTGTTATCGTCCTACGTCAGAATGTAAAATGTTATCAGCTAATAAACACGATAAACACTATAAGTAGAGCTTACTTTTATTTTTGTTTGAAGTTATTTCGAGTTTTGGCTTCAGTAAGTGGTGAAAATGACTTGTGCTAGTAAAAAGTCTGTCGGAGCTGTTCTACTGGAATTGGAGGATTTTGGGCAAATCACCGATAGCAGCGGAAATGAAGTGACTATAAAACGCTTTACTTGGACTAATTCGAACAAAGTAAGTGTCCAGCTTATTACCTATGGAGGGTACATAACATCTGTCAAAGTACCTGACAGCAAGGGCAACGTAGACGACGTCGTCATAGGATTTGACACTTTGGAAGGTTATTTGAGTACCAAAAATACTTATTTTGGAGCCACCATTGGGCGATGTGCCAACAGAATCAAGAAAGGTCTCATGACAATCGAAGGGGTGACTTACCAACTGGCAACCAATGACGGACTGAACCATCTTCATGGAGGAATCAAGGGATTTGACAAAGTGATCTGGGACTACTACGTGGCAGGTAACAAGGTGGTTTTGAGTTATCATGGGGCTGATTTGGAGGAAGGGTACCCTGGCGATGTCGTGGTGAACGTGACGTTTGAACTGACAGGCAACAACGAACTTGTAATCGACTACAAAGCCAGCACTAGTAAGCCAACGGTGGTGAACCTGACGAACCACTCATATTTCAACTTAGCTGGGCATGACAAAGGTGCTACCGAGCTCTACAAACATGTCGTTTCTATAAACGCAGACAAAATAACCGAGGTTGAGAGTGATGGCATTCCAACAGGTAAGACGGAATAAACTGTTGATTGAAAGAGACATCTTGAAGAAAATCCATTTTCTAGGTAACCTTCCTACCGTTTCTGGAACAGTCTTTGACCTGCGGATCCCAACCGTCTTAGGAGACGTTATCCAGAAGGTACCAAATTCTCCAGGTTACGACCACAACTTCTGCGTTACTAAAGGCACAGAGGAAGGAAATACATTTGTAGCAAAATTTACTCACCCTGATAGCGGTAGAACCCTAGAAGTTTACAGTAACCAGCCGGGTGCTCAATTTTACACCGGCAACTTTTTGCCTGAGGATGATTCATTGGTAGGAAAAGGAGGGAGTATCTACAGGAAACATGGGACTTTTTGTTTAGAAACCCAGATTTATCCGGATGCTATTAATAATGTAAGATATCTCAAAAACACTAGTATGGTGGCTATATTTTTCTGTGTATTCTCTGAACTTATTTCTTTAGCTAAAAAAAATTTTTTTTGCAACAATTTTTTTCTTTTTCAGCCTCAATTTGGAAAGTCTGTGTTATACCCGGGTGAAGAGTACCATCACTCTGCAACTTTCAAATTTTTGGTTTCATGAAGGTTTATGTTTGTTTCATATTTTTAATATAGCTTTGAAATATTTCTGATTTAAATATTCCTATTTACTCCTCAGTTTATTTAAAAAATGATCTGCATTTAATCATAAAATGATACTATTAGTGGTTACGAAAACAGTTTTTTGTCATTGATTCTTTAGTATGCTATAAACGGTGTGATAGAAATAATGTATCAGAAACGTTTTCAACGTCCAAAAAAAGAATTATAAAGAATCTGAAAAAGCCATTGCTGTAGGAATTTTTAATTTTCAAAAGGATAATAACGTCCTAAAAATTTAAAATTATTACAACAACTTTTTGATTAGCATATTATTTAAAATTGAATTTCTAACAAAAAAAATACTATATATTTTTTTTAGACGAATAGTTTTGTAACTATTTTTGATCTGATTTATTCGGTTTATTTAAAAAAATTTTAAATAATTTAAAAATTGCTAGTTTTTCGAATAAAATCGAAGATATCCGATAATCGGAATTAACTGTATTTTTAAATTTCCAAAATATTCAGTGGGGTACCTCCACCACTGGTTGACACCGAAACGTTCGCGGACACCATTTTTTTATCACTTATTTATTATTAACACCCTATACAGGGTTGTTCACAATTTAAATAGGAAACATCACCAAGTGAGCAAATATTTTTTGAACAATAGGTTATAAACATGGGTCGTACATCGCTTCGTTTCGACGGTTTACAGGGTGTTGAAATTATAAAAAAAATATAATATTTCCTGAAATACATATATCTGAGGATTTTTGACGTAGATTAATGAAACTTGAGTTACAGGTGTGTCTAATTAAAAGTAAAATTTCACTAAGTTGATTTCCAAACGAGTCACCCATTGGCGGAGTTATGGGGGTTCGATACTACTAAGAGTTTCCAAATTTCGACTCCTCTAAGTATTCTGCAAGTGTGATTAATATTTTTTTAACAAATAGCATTTCTAAGAAAAATTATATATGTACTTTACTTGAGGTACAAGTGGTTTTAGAGTTCAGATTATATTTATTTTAAAGAGGTAAATAAATCCAAAATCAGTTTGTTATAAATGCAATTTAATCCGACAAAAGAAACAATAGCGTAGAAGTTTTTAATTTTGTAATGATACGGCTCCTAAAAAACATCAAAATTTCTACGCCTATGATTTTTTATACTTTGACATATTATGTTGTTTTTAAATTTGTATTTATACAAAATACTGCCCTGAACTGTTGCTCTAAATGAATTGTTTTAGAGTCATTTTCGATGTAGTGAATTGTATGGTAAGTTCATTTTAAAATTAAAAAAATCAGAACTCAAAAACGGCTTATTGCACCTTTTTTCTTAGAAATGGTAAATGGTTATGGGTAGTGAAAAGCACTGACAGAATTTTCAGAATATTCGGATATTATGATGCTTTTAATGATACTTCCTGTATCTCCGCTACTGATTGATATCTTTGTAAGTGAATTTTTACTTTTCATTGGGTTGGTCTAAGTAGTAAAGGATAAATTGATTTACCAAAAGGTAAAGTGATTGATTTACTAAATGGTGAAGTGAAATACTAAACGGTGAAGTAAAATACCAAAAGGTGAAGTGAAATACCAAAAGGTGAAGTGAAATACTAAACGGTGAAGTAAAATACCAAAAGGTGAAGTGAAATACCAAAAGGTGAAGTGAAATACCAAAAGGTGAAGTGAAATATTCAGCTAAGTGATGACTTATAAAAGTTGTAAAATATTGAAATAATTTTTTCTCTGACGGTGCATTTTAGTGACACGAAACAAGTATACTTTTTTAAAGTAAATAAAATGGGACTTCTTAAAAGATTTCGTTCACAAAATCTCTATAACAAAAGAAAATATGGCAAAAAAGAAAAAAACTGTTTAAGATATTTCTAGCATTATTCATGTTTCAAGTAAAAAAATTGCTCATATCTATACAGGATGGCACGAAAGTAACCAACTTTTAAACAACTGGTCCAAAATATTACGTTTTAAATTGAAAAAAAAAGCTGTAAGTACCTTTGATATCGAAGCTGCCGCGCGCCGCAGTGCGAAAGCGCTGATGACGGTTTTGAGGGTTTAAATTTTCCAATTATGCTGAAATTTATTCAAATCTCGTTTAAAAGTAAAACAAAAATTAAACGAAGTGAGAGCTCTGTACAATGTGACGACTTGCATCACACCAATAAATAGACATTTTATACGCCGGCTAAGCAATACTGCAACATACAACGCATGTGCACAAGATGCACAGGGTCGGATTACATTTATGGTTAATTTTCTTAATTAATTTTCTCGAAAACAGAAGCATTTAGACCATCAATTGCTTAATAAAAGTTGCCCATTTATTGCGCACTTATTTCGGAAACACTGTATAGATTACTAAATCAGAAACTTCATCACACCAAATTTAACTGAAATATCTTTAGAAGCGACGGAAAAAAATAATACTAAGGCAACTTAAACGAAATCGGTTCATTTTGACCCAAGACAACTATGTCACATTCTTTATGCGAGACAGCCTGTAATGAAAATAATTTTGAGATCCAACAGAGATGTATTTATGCCACGCCGTTCGCGTAAGACGAGTTTTATTTAGATTGCATTACACACACTGATTTTAATGAAGGAAGTGGGAAATTATTAGAACGGCTCTAATGAATATTAATGGTTTGTGTTGGTCGGCGGCCGCGACAATTAAAAACCCGGAGAAAACGAAAATGAGGCGGACCCGAGCACTCGCAGATGAATAAATTACGGATTCGCAACGGGGGCGCCAATTATATCATTATTGCGTATCCATGGTAGTGATTTATAATGTCCGATGTGCGACGTGAGGCAGATGCAGTCTGGGTTTATAATTACGAGGCTTGGTTTACGGCCTCAGCCTCTTGGATTGCTGCAGCTCGCGCTACGGTCGAAGCCGGGCTTATCTAGTATCGCTCGGTGCTGGGCATGCATCAGTTTTTTTAATTAAAATTTGGAATAAAACGGGGCGCGGTCGGGGGTCGAAACGTTCAGGTTTATTACGTTGTTAATAGAGAATCGGGAACGCTCCCTTTAACGCGGTTTATTTTCCGAGCTTTATTTACGTATCTGAAGGGAATGAAATCCACAATTCAGTCAAAAAGGCCAATAATTCAAAACATTCACTGTCACTATCCCACCAGTGCGTCGTCAGAAAGGAATCATGGTTAATGATAACAGAAAGTAGTTGATATGTTCGCCAACTTTTTTCATACAAATTATATCAAAGTAATCTGCTAGTTCCAAATTTAATTCATAATAATTTGACTTTACAAACTTGAAATTGCAAGTGAGGAAGTTCATGATAAGTCAGCTGCTTTGTTGCTCAGTTTTCAAAGAAATATTCATTTCTATTGAGTTTGATACGTTCTTTCTATAATTATGCAGAACATTTTGGAAATATGATCTTTCCCAATGCTTGGAAAATAGCATCTGTTATACCAATATTTAAAAAGGGTACATGTTTACCGTTGAGAATTATCAACGAATTACCCTTACAAAACTAAACTTTTTTAGAAACAGAATCTTGAATACATATTTCCGAAGGATTTAGGTGCGCTGAATCCGAATCTGGCAGCAGAATTGCTCTATCACGTCAGGTTTTTTAGATATCCTAGCCTAAAAGTGTAAAAAACACTGTTTTTCGTCATATTTGAGGTTATGTAATAATGCCATCTATTCTTTTTCAAAAAACTAGTACATTGAATCTAAAAGTACAAGGCTCCCTCCTTCGAATGCCGTTGAGTTTGCTTAAATATCTTTTTTTTTCTTTGAGATATCACATGTTGAAATTTTTAAGTTTCTCAGTTTCTTAATATGCGAAAATCTACTAAGGATCCCTTAGACATCAAGCATCAACTTTTAAGTTTTCTATAAGCCCACCTTAAATTGAAAATTGAAATTGTACCGTTTGATAAACCACGCTTTATCTGACGTAAAGCTTATTTTAATTTTAAATTTCGCTTAGACGGTAGTCTAACCTAACTTTTGTAACATTCGGTTCTACATTGTTTTCGTATCATAATTAAAGGAAATAATTTAAAATGGTTTTTGGTGAATCACTTCTGTTTTTTATTTTCGAATTTGAATCGATGCTGTACTTTTAAAAAACTGCTTGATTTTCATTTGACATGTCAATTGGTATAAAGCGTATTAAACAAAGGACGTTTACGTGAAAAATACCTTAAAAATTAATTAAAGAGACGCAAAAATACGAGAAAAGCGTTTTAAAAATGTGGGACCTCCGCTGAAAGGTTTGAGTGCGGTGCTCTAACCACTGATCTAACGAGCCTATGAACTACAGTTTGCAATAAATACAATTATACGATGTACAAATGGACGCCATGACCTTGAATTTTCGTACCTACATGTAACCCATATGTATTATTATCAGCTTAGTTTTAATCACGATATAAACATTGCTAGGTGTTCTAAGATCTTGATAATTAATCTTTTGAAAATAGATTCTTACTTGCAGATTTAGAAACGAATCACCGCAGTTTTAAAAACTGTTAACGATTTATTGATATTTAATCGAAAATCTTTGTGAAGAAATTTTGTATTAGAAAATACAAATTAGATAGCTGTAGGCCGCTAGTTTAGATATAGAATAGTACACAACCCCACAAAAAAAAAATTCTGTCAGTTTGACCTTGTCAGTTCAGGTTAAAGGTTATTTCAAGGTCAAACCGAGAAAATTCCCCTATGGTGGAGGCAACCATGGTTATTATATGTTTTTGGAGTGACCATTAGAAGTCCTGTGACAATCCTAATGATGATGCTACTAAGGGACCAATCAATGGTCCCTCTATGAGAAACCTACCCTGTCACAAACCAGATCCTCTTTCCCACTCTTCCAATAAGACCATTCTTCCAATATCAAGAACTACTGGGTTGTATTAAATAAAATTGGTGTCATTCACTTGCCTGCTACGTAAATGCAGATCGAGTTTCTGTCTTGAATCTACCGAAAGTATTATTTGGGTTTTCGGAGTGCTTTTTGGAAATTAACAAAGAAA